CGGCTAATACAATGAATTTTTGCCCTAGTCCTAGTGGAACATTTTTAGCTGAGGTAGTTGAGATGCCTTTTGTTGTCACTCCTGTTAAAAGACAATTAAATAGTGAGCATACCCAAAAAGAAAAGGATCTAGAGATCCGCTTAGACGCAACTCGTGATGAACTCATCCGTATAAAAAAACAATTGAAAAGTAAATCCGTGCAGGTGTATCAGTTGAAACGAAAACTGAAAACTCTACCTCCTAATATTACACTCCCTGTCAATATATCTCCATTTGCAAAAACTTTAGTAAACATGCAATTGCTTAGCACAAAAAAAAGAACTTACTCCAGTAGTGAAAAAAAAATCGCGTTGATGCTTTATTATAAAAGTCCATCCTGCTATAAATTTCTGAGATCAAAGGGGGTTTCTTTGCCTGGTATTAGTACCGTTAGGGGATGGATAAAGGATTTTTCGCAACGCCCCGGATTTAATTCATCTTTTTTAAAAAAATTGAAAATAAAAGTAGGTACAATGGCTGAAATGGATAAAGAGATTGTTTTGTGTTTTGATGAGATGGCCTTAAAATCAAAATTTGAATACGATAAAGAATGTGATGTTGTTGAGGGGTTTCAAGATTTAGGACACTTAGGTCGCAAATCCGTTCCAGCTAAGCAAGTATTGCTGCTATTAGTTAGAGGTTTGTATACCCAGTGGAAACTCCCTCTAGCATATTTCGTATCGTGTACAGGTGTAAATAGTATAGATTTAGAAAAAATTATCAAAAGAGGATTATTTCTGTTAGAAAAGATAGGCTTATGTCCGCGAGCTATTATTTGTGACTCTTCATCTAGCAATAGAAAATTGTTTTCTTTACTAGGAATATCTAAAAACAATCCATATTTTCTATTTAACGGTAAGAAATATTATGGAATATATGATGTACCTCACTTAATGAAAAGTCTACGAAACAATCTGTTAAATGGGAATTATGTGTTGATTAATGGAGAAATAATATCCTTTGATGACATCAGGAACACCTATCAAATTGACAAAAGGAGTAATACGGGTAGAGCTTTAACGAAATTGACAGACACTCATATAAACCCCAACAAATTTCAAAGAATGTCTGTTAAATTGGCAACACAGGTGTTTAGTCACAGCGTCGCTGCTACTATCAGAACCTGTATTCAGCTAGGTTTGTTAAAAAGTACAACAGCACTACACACGGCAAATTTTGTAGAATTTGCAAATAATTTATTCGATGTATTAAATTCATCAGTCAGATATACCCGAAATCCTTATAAATGTGCCCTGGAAGAAACAAATCAATTAGCATGGAAAACCATGAAAAACGCATTAGAAAAATTCAACACCATAAAAAAAATTAAATTCAATGGCAAAGAACAGAAGGTATATTGTTTTGAGGGATTTGTTACATCGATAAATGCAATGATGTGCCTGTTTGAAGATAACAATTCTGTTTACAGTTATATGTTAACGGGCAGATTAAACCAAGATGTGCTTGAAAATTTATTTTCTGTATATCGACAGCGGGGTGGTTACAATCGAAACCCAACTGTGAAATCATTCCGAAATATTTTGAAATTTTCGTCAGCGATTCATTTGATGCGCCCCCCAAAATATGCCAATTGTGAAGCCGATGATGACGTTTTATTTTCTGAGTTATTTCATAAAAATAATATGGAGAATAATACTATTCAAGATTCTTCTATGACTTTCGAAGACCGTTTAAAATCTGATTCCTCCTTTTCCGACTCTGATGATGTAAATGAGGAAATTATAACCTTCCCTAATGCAGATGCCGACTTAAAGACATGTAGTGAAGTATACTTTGCCGGTTACCTTCTCCATGAACTCCAAAAAAAATATAATTGCCTTAAATGCAAAACCTTATTTGAAAGTTCCTCACACTTAGATTCTGCAGACGAGTTACTTATTTTAAACAAGAATTATGGTACTAACGAATTACGTGCTCTAGTCTCACCAACAAATGAATTTAAAACGTTGTGTTCCACATCAATGAGCATATTTGCGACTTATTTTGAAAACAATAAACATAAACATAATATAATACGAAACATAAAAAGAAAAATTCACGACAAACTTACAGACTGGTTCGATAATAGTAAATGTTGCCTACCTACTGAATGTCAATCGCATATAATTTTCGTAACCAGTAAATTATGCACTACATTAGTATATAAGGAATGTAAATGGTTGTCTAATGCATCTTTCTCTACATCTACATCGCGTAATCCAAAACTTAACATTGTAAAAAATTTGTAATATATATTATTATAGATATATTTTGTAATTCATACGTTTGTACTTACATTAAAAATATTTTTAGACGTATTCTTTGAATTGTTTACGATTTTAGTTAATAAAAGCTTTTGCAGTTTACAAATTATTCATTTTTGTTCTCCTCTTTTGCAAATGACTCTCGAAAAACCCAACGTATGGCTCGACGCTTTTACCGCCGATTTGAATTAGGTATATTAAAATATGAAGTTAACAAGTTGACGCACAAAAAGGCAAATATATTTTAATGTTGTTTAATAAAACAATTTTTTGAAAACAAACTAGCCTTTTTTTAAAATGACAAATTATGTTCTTTCAACTAGGCACTGAACAAACAAAAATGGTTGAATGGTAAAGGAAGGTTGTCGATTAATCTGCTCTATTTACGTTCGATACCAATTTGTACAAACCGCAATTAGTTAATTGTCACTTTACAATGGCAGCTAATTTAAATAAGGGTTCATTACATAATAATCATAATTAAAATTTCATTACCAATTAAGGTTTGAAAGTATGAAAAAAAACATAAAGCGTTGTTTAAATACTTGTTTAAACGATGCCTAAAGTAAATGCAATACGACATCTGATAAAATGTAGGCGCTTTATTTAATAATGAATGAAGCATTGTCGGTTGCAAATTTGATATACTTACCGTGCTCCACTACTCAAATAACATTTCTGTACTCTCTGTCTCTGTTTATTTAAAATACTTAGTCTAGTTGTGATCCTCAACATGAATATGATACTTTTGTTTTTTACTAATAGAGTACAGCACATGCAAGACGTATAAATGCGGCAAGTACAGTACTCACCAAAAGAAAAGTGACGGTAAGTTTTTTAACATTGGATCTGTCCAACTATAAAGTATTTAAACAATGGCAGAAGTTATTTTATCTACTACTAAACATTGAAGTGTGCCTCCAAAATTGTTGTGACATGATTTAAATGACACTGTAACCTTATTTGTAACGTTAAGTGATCCTTTTCCCATTCCTACCACACTAATGTTCACCGCCGTCTCTTTTAATTTTAATTTCTTACATACATCGTCTGTTATGAAACTAGATTGTGAAGCACTGTCGAGAAGTGCTCGTATTTTGTGGAAATTACCCAAAGCGTCTTTAATATAAACTAATGCTGTAGATAGTAAAGTTTCAGTGCCCTTTGGTAAAACGCACGTATTAACTATGGTAACCTCTTCTTGAGGTTCCTCAACTAGTGTACCTGAATGATTTGAGCTAACAATCTTATTGGAGGTTTCCAAATGCAATAGCGTGTGATGTTTCCTGTTACACTTCTTACAGGTGGCGGTAGATTTGCAATTAGATACGAAATGGCCTTTCCGAAAACAATTTATACATGATTTCAATTCTCGGATTCTTTTGTTTCGTGCAGGAATGTCTAGCTTTAGAAATTTTTCACAATTCAGTACTGAATGATTTGCATCGCAAATTAAACATTTGGATTCTACTGTTGCAAAAGACCTTGTTGTATTACGTGAGTTTACTTGGGATTGGGACCCTATTGATTGACAACGTGTAGATTCACTTGATTTTTTAATTGCTATTGTTTCTAATATGTTTTGCTTATTTATTAGAAATTCCAACAAGTCTGAAAAAGTTGGAACGCTTTCATTGTCTCCCTCATTATTTAATTTAGTTTCCCACTCCTTGATGGTTTGACTGTCTAGTTTGTTTAAAATAATTGGAACCAGCAATGCGTCCCATTGATCAGTAGCCTGATCTAACGAAGCCAAACAATTCACATGCATTTGAATTGTATTAATTATGTCTCGTAAACAGGATGCCGATTCACGACTCGCCACTTGAATGTTTAAAATATTTTGCACGTGATTATTTATGATTCTCCGTTTATTATTGTATCGTTTTAACAAAATATTCCATGCAATTTCATAATTTAGATCTGTAGTTTCTAGAGTGGCAATTAACCCATGTGGTTCACCTTTAAGAGACGTCTTTAAATACGTAATTTTTTGTACGTTAGTTAATTCTGTATTAGAGTGAATAAATGAATTGAAGGATGTAACGGGCGCCTCCGCCACTGGAAATACTACTTTACCACGGAGAGAGTCGGCGCGGCTTAAGCAGAAGCAGTTGGATGATGAACGTGCCGGCGAGCCGACGAGAGATGAGATGATGGAATAAAATGTGCTACTTTGTTCTTTTAGAAATAAAATAAATTGTGTTAACAGTCAGAGTTGGTTCTTTCGTGATTGTTTCACCGACTGTTATACTGGCGCTCAACTAGTGGCCATTTGTTTTAATTCATAGTGCAAGTTGTGCAATGGGTTAACAAAGAAAAAAACGTTCCCAATGATCGAATACCGGCGACAACGAAACTGCTTCAGCGAGGTTTTCGTTTCCCAGTCAAGATATTTAACGTAGTAAGATGTTTTCCTATGATTTGTACAACGTTTAAGGTAAGACGTTTACATTTCATTCAATTTGTGTTCTGTATTGCATCGTTTCGCGCTTCTACGATCGTACATTGGTGTCCGATTACGCTTTCACAGACATTCCTCAAACGTTATCGCGTTCGCAGCGGAAGTTTGTTCATAGGCGGCGTAAATTTTTCATACCGACGACCAAAGAGGGGTTATCTGTTACGCTTTTGGTATATTTTTATGTTTTGACGCTCGTAATTCATAGCCGTTTTTCTTACTCGTATTTCGGTTGCATGCCTACGCGTAGCGGGCTTCAGTACGAACGACCATTACTAAATTACGAAAGGAACAATATGGTTCAACCGATATTATTGACCGACGAGCAGTTTCAAGCGCTTTTGCGGCAAGTTGGTGCTGCACATCCCGTCGGAAATGACGCAAATGGTCATTTTGCGAAGTGCAATGCACGGTTCGATGGCCTATCTGACGTTGAAGCCTTCCTAGACTCAATATCCACCTATAAGGACTGTCTCAAAATTAGCGACGTCAACGCATTACGAGGGCTTCCAATGTTATTAGACGGTCTAGCGGCTACTTGGTGGCAAGGTATTAAACAAACCACTCTCACGTGGGAGGACGCTGTTAAGGCTTTGTAGGATGCGTACTCGAAGAAATCGCCCCCACATCTTATATATCGCAAGATTTTCGAGCGTGAACAATCTACGGAAGAAACCGAATTGTTCATATGCCAACTTCGAGCTTTAATCGCGCAGCTACCCTACCAATTAGACGAAAAGGTTCAGATTGATATGATTTATGGCTTGCTTAAGCGTAGTCTTAGGGAGAAGATACCTAGAGCAGATTTGACATCATTTCCCGTATTTTTACAGAAGATTCGAGATGTTGAACTGTCACTTAGAGAAGTTTCGGAGAAGAAACCGTTGAAGGAAACTGTTAAAGAAGAGCCTTCCGAACGCAAACGAACGAGATGCAATTTCTGCAAGAATTTTGGCCATGACAAATCTGAGTGTTAAGAAGCTTCAACAGAAAGAAGCAAAGGCAACAGTGGATCCATCCTCGGGGAGTAGTCCCAGAATTGTGTGCTACGGGTGTGGTGCACCAGGTGTCATCCGATCCAAGTGCCCAAAATGTCAACCCCCATCATCAGGCTCGGCGGAGCAGAATTCCCTCCAGTTTTTCTCCACATCGATCGATTATTTTACACCTGCGGTAAAACCATACTTACCAATTACAATTGATGGATGCAATGGTGTGGGATTAGCGGATTCCGGCGCTTCGGATAACATCGCTGGAACGGAACTTTACCATTTGTTGATGAAAAAGGGATACGAGTTTCGTGAAAAGACCCTCAATTTGACGTTTGCGGATGGTGTACTCCAAGAACGAAAGGTTCTGCAAACTTCTGTACGAGTACATTTACAAGGGAGGTCCTTTCAAACAACATTCGTGGTTTGGCTCAGGCGAAGACTTGTCGAACACTATTGGGTGTCAAGTTTTTGAAAGATGCTGAAGTTGTTTTGGACCTACCCCACAACCAATGGTATTTCTGTGACAATCCACAACAAAGATTTCAGTTTGCATTGGCATCGAGTGTCCCTACTGTTAGCGCGACGCATTTGAACCAGGTGGAGTGGGACCTCAGACCCGACGAAGGCGAGGAACTTACTCTCGGTCAGAGAGAGAAGGTTAACGAGCTTCTCAGCACTATGCCAAAGGTCTTTCGGATGGGGGGAGCCCCAACAGAATTTGCGGAACATCGGATCGAGACTACGAGTAATGAACCGATTGCCGTTCCCCCATACCCATTGAGTGCCCCAAAACGAAAATTTCTACAGGAAGAGTTGGAAAGGATGCTCTCTGAAGGAATTATTGAGGAATGTGAGTCCCCGTGGGCATTCCCCGTGGTTTTAGTCCCCAAGAAAGACAATAGTCTAAGATTGTGCATAGATTTTCGTCGTTTGAACAAAATTACAGTAAGCGATTCTTATCCTATGCCAAGAATCGAAACACTACTTCAATCTGCGCGCGAAGCAAAGTTTATGTCCACCATTGATCTTCGGTCAGGGTATCTCCAAGTACCACTACGCGAAAGTGATCGCGACAAAACGTGTTTTGTAACGCCGTTTGGAACATACCGTTTTAACAGAATGGCGTTTGGACTGAAAAACGCGCCCGCGACGTTCGTGCGACTGATGGACCGTTTTCGTGCCGGGTTGGGTGATCGTGGCGTCTTCGTGTATCTAGACGATGTTTTAGTGGTGTCAGAATCTTTCGAGCAACACCTGGACGATTTACGCGCGGTGTTCGAAAGATTAGACCTATTCAATTTGCGTGCGCGGCGCGATAAGTGCCATTTCGTGCGGAAATCGGTAAAATACCTAGGACACGTTCTGACCTCGCAAGGTGTCACGACGGACCATACTAAAATTGCGGCTATTAGAGATATGAAACAACCTTGTTGTATCAAACAAGTACACAGTTTCGTCCAAACTTGTGCGTGGTATCGCAAATTCGTGCCGGATTTCGCGCAAATAGCCCGTCCGTTAACAAACATGTTGAAAAAGAACGCAGAATTCGTATTTGGGGAAGAAGAGCTACAAGCGTTTAACGAGCTGAAGAGTAAACTAACGTCTGCCCCAGTACTCATTCAGGCCGATCCGTCGGTGCCATACGTGTTACGAACCGACGCGAGTGGGTACGCTTTAGGCGCGGTGTTATCGCAAGAACGTGATGGTGCGGAACACCCAATCGAGTTTGCGAGCCGTTTGTTAACGACCCCTGAAAGGAACTATTCGACTGTCGAGCGAGAGGCTCTTGCTATTGTGTGGGCAGTTGATAAATTTCGAACATATTTGGATGGTGCCGATGTTACGATAGCTAGTGACTGTCAGCCTTTGCAATGGTTGCTCGGTTTGAAAACGCCGTCCGGTCGTCTAGCTCGGTGGGCCTTAAAGATTCAAGGGTTGAATATGAAGGTAGTGTACACACCAGGTAGAGTAAATGTGGTGGCGGACCGACTATCCAGACCCTTCTGCGATCACAACGAATCGACCACTTGCGAAATTTGTCAAATAGAAGTGCAGATGCCCAGGATGTCAGTTGAAGAACTGCGGGAGAAGCAAATTGCCGATCCTTTGCTGAAAAGGATTATCGATTCATTAGAGGGCGACGAAGATTTAGAGATTACTCGCTGGATGGATCGTGGCTACTTACTGAATAATGGCGTGCTCTATCGATGCAGCGACGCGGAAGAGTTAGAGGAACCTGCCTTGGTTGTACCGAGTAGTATGCAAAACGAATTACTGCAACAGTACCACAACTCTCCCACCGGAGGTCATTATGGAATAGACCGCACAGTCAGGAAAATTGCGTCGAAATACTACTTCACCGGAATGCGTAAGTTTGTTGCCGATCACGTGAAAACATGCCTGGAGTGTCAACGTTATAAGCCCGGTAATCAGAAACCGGCAGGATTGCTTCAGACTCCTGCCCCTGCACAGCGCTTTGAAGTGTTGTCCGTAGACCTATTCGGACCGCTCCCGGAAACGGATAATGGAAATCGTTGGATTTTGGTAGTTGAGGACACGGCCTCTAAATGGTTTGAATTATTCGCCATTCCCTATGCGACGGCTGAGGTTTGTGCAAAAATCCTAATCGAAGAAATATTTCTTAGGTACGGTACCCCTAGGAAGATGATCACCGACAATGGAGTACAATTCATAAGTGAGGTGATGCAAAAAGTCGTATACTGTTTTGACATTAAATTGCCGTTTATCCCCGCGTATCAAGCCGAGAGTAATCCGGTTGAACGAAAGAATCGTGATTTAAAGACCCAATTATCTATTCTGGTTCGCGACCGCCATTCTCAATGGGACAAATATTTAGCGAGTATACGTTTCGCGATTAACTCCTCGGTGTGCGAGTCCACTGGAAAAACCCCCGCGTATTTGACGTTCGGTAGAGAGTTACGATCGCCTCACGATTCCTTGTATGACATGAGACAAACCGTGAACGCGGAGAATTTCGTTCCACGCATTACGCCGTATTTAAAGAAACTGGCTATCTCCCTCTGCGAATCGAAGGAACGGATTGAGCATAATCAAGATCGCCGAAAGGTTGTGGCTGACGAACATCGTCGGTCTGTTAAGTTTAAAATCGGAGACCGCGTTTTACTAAAGACGCACGTTTTGAGTAACGCCAAGAAGGGCATTACATCTAAATTTGTTCCGAAAAGAGATGGACCCTATTGCGTCACACGAGTCATCACACCAACGACGTATGAATTGGGCACTGGACAGGACCCCGTCACCATAATTGGTCGGTATCACGCGTCGGATATCACTCTTTTTGCAGATCCAACGGTATCCTATGGTGACCACGATGATGTAGCTGTGGAACCCGAAATCGAACCTATTGTCCCGAAGCGAAAACGTAGACGTCCAAGAAAGTGTTCCAAACGCCCTTCTTCACCCAGAAAGCCGCTTGGAAGGGGGGAGAGTGTAACGGGCGCCTCCGCCACTGGAAATACTACTTTACCACGGAGAGAGTCGGCGCGGCTTAAGCAGAAGCAGTTGGATGATGAACGTGCCGGTGAGCCGACGAGAGATGAGATGATGGAATAAAATGTGCTACTTTGTTCTTTTAACAATAATAATAAATTGTGTTAACAGTCAGAGTTGGTTCTTTCGTGATTGTTTCACCGACTGTTATAAGGAGTCGCAAAACTTCTCCAGGACGTAAATGTCTCATCAAAAACTGGTAATTTTATCGCCGGTAATTTAATATTGAATTTCGGTTGCCTTTGAGAACCATCAGCTTCAGCAATATTAACTTGTGATGATCCGTGAGACCGTGAATCATCTTGCGATAACAATAAATCTTTAGCTTTAGCACACAATGAAAAATAAGAATTCTGGAATTTTTCGCGCTCTTCAATCTCCGATTCACTAACCTCACAGTCATCTGAACTTAATTGTAAATCCAATTCATTTTGAATGTCATTAAACACATCTAACAATGGTTCAATTTTTTCCAGCCTTTGTTTTAAATTTAACATCATTTCACTGGATAAATTGTCTACATTTAAATCAGTCCTATGATGTATCAAATCCGTTACAAATAACGGAGCCGTTATGAACCAAAATAACCAATTTCCGTTAGTAGCTATAATGTATCAGATTGTAAGCATGGTTATCGTAACGGATCCGTACACGTTGCCCGGTTGAGTAAAATAACGGACTGTTGTGAACGGAACGAATATCGTGGAAGTTATGTGTTTAACTGGGGTACAGAGTAAGTAGTTTGCGTATTTTGTTTTGAGATCAATCAATCATTCAAAATCCAAATACATTTGCAAGACCTTTAGCGTTTATATTTGTTGCAAATGAATCCCATAATGCTCTTACTTTAGTGGCTTCTTTTGGACTGGTCTTCCCCGTGATCAATATTTTATTTGCCTTGAGAAAATCCAGCAAATATTCGTATTGGTCGTTTGTCGTTTTTTGCAAGCGTTTTCTTTGCACATTTTGCGTGCACCCATGTATATTCATCGCGTGGTTTTGAAGAATAACGACGCTTCGGGCCGTTTATAAAAACAAGACGGAAACAAATGTCAGTTTACTTGTCAGCTTTTCGA